TTGGGATTTTGTGCATTCACATATTTTCAACCAGCTTGATTTTCAAGCCACCATGTCCAGGACTCAAACCACAGTCAGCCATGTGGAAATCTAGCACGTTAACCACCATGCCACCTACTGACCACTCTTGGGACTTGGGAATAGAAATAAGGTGATCTTGGGACCAGCAGGTAGCATAATGGCTATGTTGCTGGACTCCCATGTAGTCGACCGTGGTTCGAGTCCCGGACCCGGTGACTTAAACTCACGCCGGGCGCGTGTGCGTGTGTGCCCAAGATCCCGAGAGGAGAATGGAGGAGAAGGGATTGCGGCGTGACCATCCCCCCGGGGGGTGATTTCTCACTTTCTGTCTCCCTGTCTCTCTCTGTCTGGAGAGTGCACGCGTCCTATAGCAAAAACCTCTCAACAAAAGAAAAGAAAAAAAAAAAGAAAGAAGGTGATCTATTATTCACATCTCTGTCATACCTAACTGCCATGGCAGTTATATGTCTCAGAAAATGATGGTGGTGGTGGTGTTGGTAAGGGGATTAAAGAACATGAAAGTGGAAGTGTTTTGGGATGGGGATGAGAACAGGGTAGATTTGGGGTACTGGGAGGAGACAGAACAATGGAAGCCACAGAAGTGACAAGGTAACCTAGAGAGAGGGTACAGAAGAGAAAGACATGTGAGTTCTTGAAAATGGAAAAGGCCCATTTTTCAGCGATGAGGCAATGAGAAACAGAAGGGAGCGTACAAAGAAATGAGAAGTGAAAAGGAGAGCTTTTCAAGAAAGAGAATGTGGTCATTGCTTTCAAGTGGTATAAGAGGAAAGATTTTAAAGATCATGGGATTTGATCATTGGGACATCACTGGTGATTTTGTACAGAGATTTTATTGATTACTGAGAGAAGCCATATTGCCAGGAATGCAAATATGAAGTAATCTGAAGAATACAGAATCAGTGAACCCAAACCAATAGTTCAAAATGTTTGATATTTAAAAGAGTACTTTAAAATATCTGCTAATCAGTTGCTTGCTATATACACTGACATTAGTAATCACTTTACGTGAATTATCTAATTTTATCCTAATGGGAGGTTATTTTATGCCCATTTGACTGCTAAGAAAACTGAGATAAATGATTGTAAGAGACTTGCCAAAGGTAACAACGTTAACAAGTGAAATAGTTAGGAGAAGATTCCAACTGTGTGATTCCAGTGCTGAGATTCTCAGTCCATTACACTAAGAAATACAGGCCATCACTTGCAAGGGGGTGTTGGATAAAAAAGTGAAAGAAAGTTATTGTTGTTTTTTTGGTTTTTGTTTTTGTTTTGTTTTTAGCTTTAGAGACACCTGAGTATGTTGCTGGGCAGAGGGTATGACACCAATAGAGAAAAGGAATTCAAAGCTTGCTGGGAGGATCATCCAATCCTTCACATGGTTCCCAGACAGTTGGGAAGATGAGATAAAGGAGAAAGATTAGAGAATTGGCAGGTTAAGAATAAACAGGGCCCAAAGATTGCTTCCTGGGGGTTAGGAACCACCGAGCAGAACTATGTTACATACTCACTGGGTCTCCAATCTACATTTCTTCAGAGAGTCTGCTGATCTTTTTTAACTTGATCTTTTTTTTTTTTTAAATTTTAGTGTTCTATTTTATTACATAATCATTTATTATTACTTTTTTTACTGTAAGAATTCTCTTTTTCTTTGGTTAATTCTTTTTTTGTGAGTATGTCTTTTTATTTAACTTTATACATTCAATTACTATGTATCACTTAGCTTCTAAAGTGAATTTACCCAACATGGATACACTCCACACCAGTCCAGTTGAGAATACCATATACTACACTATACTATACATTATCTGTTATCTATACTATGCATTATTATCTGTTATCATCAACAGATAATAACCCACTCAATGAGGAAATTATAGTCTAGAGACTCTACCAGAAAGTACTTTCTTCGAAGTGTAAAGTGTGTGGTTATTATGGTTTTGGTGTGGTGAGCATGTTAGTATGAAACAGAGAGCCGAGAAACGTGAAGGAAATTAATTTGCGTTCCTTCTTGTACCTCCTAAAGTTCTAAGGCGGTAAGTTAGCTACACCACAGAGTTTTATGATATCAGGGTCACTGGGTAAAATAGGTATAGCAAAGGTGTCTAACAGAATTTTTATCTTTAGAGCAAGAGTTCTTACATACAAATCCAGGGCAGGTTTAGCATGCCTGAGCCACATGAAAGGCCTGCAAATTCTGTGTGAATGTGTAGATTTGATGTGTGTGTGTGTGCATGCATGTGCTATTGAAGAAGAATTCACTCTTAGCTGTTATTAATCTCAAAAGAACTCAAATCCCAAAGAAGAAAACCACAGAATTAGAAGTTTGGTTTTGTACTGGATGTATTTTGCTTTGCTTTAGAGGTTTAAGTAGGAAAATTCTGAGAAAACTTGAGAAGAAAATGGACAATGTATAGAATCACCAACCCTTTTCAGATCTGGAATCAATTCAAGGACTTTTTTTTTTCCCTTAAATTATAACTCTTCTTTTTAAACTTCCTTAACTGCTGTTTTCATGTACTGGAAGTCAGAGTTTGGGTTGCTGAACTCACAGTTGTTATCTCTGGCAGTTGAAATATCCGGGCAGACTGATGTCATTTGTTTCTGGAACAGCGTCAGCCTCCTCTGGGCAAATGCACTGATAAGTCATTGAGCAGGCACAGAGAGGATGGTATTTCACGGTGCAACGAGCCATCCTGGCATAGCTAATTTAGCACTAACTGAACTTATAAACAGAAATCAACCTCAAAGTAGTCAACTTCTGTAAAAGACTATGTTTTTTAATTTATTTAAATACCTGGGACCTGTTTAATCTGTCCTTTGTCTGATTGGAAATTCTGTATTTCCTGCTTTTTTTTCCTCTTACTTAACCTTCTGCTCTGATTTATGTGCTTAACTGAAATTCTAATTTTGTTTTGTTTTAGTAATATATACATGTGCTCCCAGACACCTGGCTCAATGGTTTTGTCTATGATTGCTGGTCTTCATCTCTGTATCATAGCAGATTCTCAACTTAAATAGCTGTTGCTGCTGTTATGATTGATGTTGGTAAAAACTCCTATATAATATTCATCTTTCTGTTTCCCTAGCAACTGGGAGCATCCTTGGCATATAACAGGTGCTAACAAATGTTTTGTGGATGAACGAATCAACAAATAAGTAAATTGTGTGGAAATAACTATTAATGAAATTATTGTCTGGAACAATGCAGGAGTCTTTATTAACATCAATAATAACAGCAGGAGCAGCAGCAACAGTTCTTTGAGAATCTACTGTGAAAGGTGAAGGAGGCAGTGGCCTCTCCTCTGAGGGTCCTGATCAATTCGGCTCTTACTGAATTGACCCACACCAGAGTCAAACCTTCTTCTGAGGGGTGGAATTTCCTCCATCTTAATTACATTTCCAAGGATGAATTTGTGTTTCTCAAAGATTGGTATCTTGATGTCTTTTCACTTGTTTGCTATTTAATTTACCTCTGCTTGTTCTTAAGCGGCTTAAAATTTAAGGTACAAGAAAGATGGGTATTCCAAAAACTATTGGGTCGTTGGGAAAGTCATGAGGTATTTATGCATGGAAAAATACGTCATAACTTTCTTGATGACCTAATATGATGCTGTGTGATAAATACCAAGAGAGCTTAATGAAATCAATGTTTTGGGAGCACTAAGCAAACTCTGCCTAGGTGGACTGAACAGGATTTTTACATGAGGTGACATTTGAACAGGTTCTTTGAAGAAGATATTCACCATATGGCTTGAAAGAAGACACTTCCCTCTTTTAAATCATACCCTGAATGACTGCATTTGTAATTGGCAATGAGATGGTTTGGGCTGTTCTTTCAGGAAAACTCGTTTCTGTGTTGCACTGAATTGAACAAGACTCTTACAAATGATCTAGGCTCTGCTTTCCAGTATCTTTCCTCTATCTTCTTCCTATTAAGGATTTCAATAGGACCAGCCAGTAGTGTGCTGGTTAAGTTGGCTAGATCCCACATGGCTAACCCCATGGTTCAAGTTCTGACCTGAAAAATATGCAGGAGTATGTGCATGCGTGCCTAAACACTCAGCAGGAGAAATAGAGGTGAAGAGGTTAGGGCATGACCATACTCCTTAGTGTTTAGTTACTCACTTTCTCTTTGCATCTGTCTCTCTCCTGGGAACACATGTGTCCTATGACTTTTTTTTGAGATTTCAATATGAACTTTATGTGCAACCATAGGTGTTAAAGTCTAACAGTAGCTCAGAGTTGCAAACGTTCGAAGAATGAATCACATGTCTTGTATTTTTGTTTTTTAATTTTTTTATTTATTCATTTATTGCTCTTGCTACTGCTCCCAGTAGCATTTTCTTCTGGCTATGGCCTTAGCTAGCTTGGAAATATATAAAAAATATACTTTACAACCCTTATGGGCATTAATAAATGCTTTTCAGATACAATTCATGTTTCAACACGTAATATGTCCTGTAGGAAAAGCCAACAGAATATCATGGCCTACAAATTCCCATGAAACTAGTATGACAGCATAGAGTGTTTCTGTGATGCTCTTAATTGAAAAGTTAGCTGTGATATTTACATAGCAAAATACGGATTAGTTGCTGTTTCAAATACATAACAGATGCCATTACCAAGAAGTTGTATAATTTTTCTTTAGTCTCTGGAAATTATAAGATGCCTGGATATTGTAGGAAATCTTCTCTTTCAATTCAGAATGAATTATGACATCATAGGAAGGGTAACTTTACCTGGAAACTAACCTTGAACTAATTTATCCTTTTCCTAGTGTCTTTACAAAGAACTTTAATTAGTGTTCTCATATTAGAAACAAGACGAGATCAGGCGTATTCAGGGTGGTATGATGATAGTGTAATTACTTTCATTTTGGTTTGGACTAGAGCTGGGTAGTTATAAGCAAGCATATCAATTTCACTTTTCATCAAAATGTTTTTATCCTTTCATTTTAGTCGGATGCCAATGCAAGTTACTTAAGAGCAGCTAGAGCTGGACACCTAGAAAAGGCCCTTGACTACATAAAAAATGGAGTTGACATCAACATTTGCAATCAGGTTGGTTCTTCTCAACGTCATTCAGACTTTTAGCAAAAGCTATAAAAATCCTATCTTTAATTTTCTGAAAATCTTCCCCAAGACTTTCTCTTTTTGTTAGTTCTTTCAGTTAAACTTTGCCAGCTTAATGTTGAATTGTTCTCTGCTTTGTTAGAGGGACATTCAGAAATGTTGGTATATGTCTCTTGATAATTAACTCCTAAGACTTAGGAAATGATGATAACAAGACAATCTATATAGTTTTCAAGTGCTTTCACTTCTAATTCACGTTTCTACACTGCACACCTGCATGTGACTGTTGGTTGGATGTTGTCTTGGGAATCCTTGGTAGATAGTTTACTGCTCCGTTTTCAACCTGCTGAGTAAAGCTTTCTCTCCACTATTAATCAGAATGGGTTGAACGCTCTCCATCTTGCCTCTAAAGAAGGCCATGTCGAAGTTGTCTCTGAACTGCTCCAGAGGGAAGCCAATGTGGACGCAGCTACAAAGGTCAGTATCGCGTATTTAATGCTTTTTATATCACTTCCTCATGACTCATTCCTCAGTAAGAATCAGGTTCTCTTTTCATGGGATACTTGTCAACTTTGTTCTTTTGGGGGAACTTACAAACATAGTAGGAGTTGAAAGGTGAGTGAGTTGATGTATCTTGCTATTCATTTTACAGAAAGGGAACACAGCATTGCACATCGCATCTTTGGCTGGGCAAGCAGAGGTGGTGAAAGTCTTGGTTACAAATGGAGCCAATGTCAACGCACAGTCCCAGGTAAACTTACAGTTCTATTGCAAAGACATTACGACTTGCAAATGCTGTTCTTTGGGTCAGGTGCTTTCTTGGTTTACATATCCTCAAAGAACACCATTTACGTGCTATATTCAAATAGTTACATATCACAGACTATTTAAGTTCACAGGTAACCTCATTTATAATATATGTGTGTGAGATGAAAAGATTTTAAAAAGTGATTGATCTACAAAACTCTATGACTGATAGTCATTGGCATAGATGTAAAGGGAATATCTGTAATCAGACATTTATACTATTTGATGGTTCTACCTCAGATCCAGACCTCAGTAATTTTTAACCTACAAAGGAAATAGTGATGCCTATAAATGATGAAATGCTCTTAGAATTTTAGAAAGTATCTGTGCTTTAACTAGTTGAAAGAAGAAACTGTTTAATTCCTCTTTACTAACTGAGGCAGTTTAGTCATTCTCTGAAACAGGTTAAAAACAAACAGAACCAGGAGAAGAAACTTCAAAAATCTCTAAACCTTAAATTTTTCAGAGTATTTGTAATGAATATAGGTCCTTTTGTAAATCTCAGAGCCTTACATCAATCTCTAAGAACACCAACAGATTATCATGTGATAAGACATTGAGTCTAAAACAAATATCTTTATTTCATTGTTTTGAAAATAGAGATCCTTGGGGCCAGTAGGTGGTATGGTGGTTAAGGCACTGGACTCCCAAATAGTGGGCTGTGGTTCAAATCCCAGACCTGGCAGTTTGCTTTCTCACTTTCTTTCTCTCTCTCTTCCTATAACAAATTAAAAATTAATAGGATAATAACATTAAATAAATATTTTTAAAACGAGAGAGAATAGAGGTCCTCATATCATCCAAGTAGTCATTATTTAAGTCTCCACAAGAATAAGTTAGTATAGTAAAACAAATACTATAGTACAAAGATGTCCTTTAAGACCCAAACACTTTCAGAACTGGTCCCCACTTTTAAAACAATCTCTCCAGGGACCAGCAACTAGTGTAATGACTATCTCGCTGGACTCCCATGTAGTTGACCACCATTCGCGTCCCAGACCCGGTGGTTTAAAACTCACGCGAGGCGCATGTACCTGCATGCCCAAGATCCTGAGAGGAGAATGGAGGAGAAGGGATTGCAGCATCACCATGCTCTTCCTGTCTCTCTCTCACTCACTGTCTGTGTGGCAAGCGCACAAGCCCTATAGTGAATACCTCTCCAAACAAACAAAATACCAGTCTCTCCAGCTGAAAGCTGACAAAGTTTCCTATTTGTCAGTATCTCCCCTCAGGATATTGGATTTTTAATTAATTGATTACAGAACAAAACTGTAAGTTTTGCCAAAGACACAGGATTTCATAAAGTGAGGGAAGCGATGGTGGAGACCTGCCAAGTGCTCACAGCTCGGTTGTGGGCACGTGATGTTTTAGTAGCATAAGCCAGGCTGCCTGGGAGGAATCGGGCTCCTTCCTGATCAGTGTTTCATGTGAGAATGACTGGAAAATCAAAAGATTAAATGAAGAAAAAAAAAGTGAGATCTTTGGTTCTCAAGTACTTCTCTCGCAAAAGACTGTGTTTTGCTTATACTGTAAAAATAGACATTGAAGTGAAGGATGTCAAGATATCATATAATTTTGTTGGGAAGATTACACTTTTTCTCAACAAAAATCACACTCGGTTTTGCTTCTATCATTCTGATAACTCACGTATGAATACGCTTATCACCTATGTTTCATTGACGTGCTTTTACAATTTGTGGTTTTATCTTTCAAGATTAAATCTTAGTCAAAGTTATTTTCATTGTTTACTGTGGACTTTTGATCTCCATTTAAGTGCACTTGATTTCATTATATTTTCCAGGACTGATTATCTCTGGATAGCAGGGTTCTTCTCTATTTTATGGCCCACAGAATGGCAATGACTTCCTGCCCTGTTTACTACAGTAGAACAAGGGTGGCGCTGGTGCCATTAGATGTCAATGTCATGGAAAAGGCACTGTGTGCTGCTTCTAGTTGCCTGGACTCTTACGTATTTGCTCTGGCGTCCTTCTAGTTTTCTGTCATTGGACTTTTGCTGCATGGCCTATGCTAGGTCTTCCGATTCCCTCAGAGAGATCCCTGGAAAGTATTAATAATAACACTTTCCAGAAAGGAATGATATAAAGTTGAATACTGACAAGTATTACATTAGGTCACTGAGAAAGTAGGACTTATGTTTTTGTTTTTCTATTCAAAAACACATCATGACTTTCCTGACAACCCCATAGGTCTTAAAGTTGATGGGAAGGGTATCTTATGAAAAAACTATGAATAGATTTGAAAAGTCTTGTACCAAAATAAATGAATTCCATTTTTCCATGAACATTTCAGTGTCTTTTTGTATAGTACTTTAAGAGAGATACAGGGCTGGCCAGTGATGTGGTGGTTAAAGCAGCTGGATCCCACATAACCAACTGGTAATTCAAGTCCCAGACTCGGTGGCTTGAAAAAAATACCAGGTGTGTGTTTTTGCCTAAAATCTCAAGAAAAGAATGGAGGAGAAGGGATTGCAGCATGGCCATCATCCCAGGAGATGCTTTATCACTTCTCACTAGTCTCTCCCTGTTCATCTCTCTGTCTCTCTCTCTCTCTCTCACACACCCTATAGCAAATCTTAAAAAAGAGAGAGAGAGATACAGACCAGCTGACTACAATAGAAGCATCTTGCTTTTAAACCAATTGTTTTAAATGTCCCTACACTTCTTTTATACTGAAAAAGTAGCTATTTTTAGGTTTTGAAATAGTGGGAAAACTCTTTAATCCATTTTCATTTTCTTTTCGGTGTATTCCAAGGCAGGAAAAAATAAACCTTTTTCTTTTAAACATCACACACAAGCCTAATGCTTAGAGCAGCCGTAGTTTTAAAGCCGCCCTGCTATGTCTGGGAAAGCTGCAGCCGAAATAAAATCCTAATCAGATTTCATTTTAAATGATCCACATTCCATACCAATGAGGCAGTGGAGGAGAACATAGGCTGTGAAATCCCCTGTTACTGCAGCTGTGCGCAGGGTAGCCTACACCACATCGCACAGCAAAGCCTTCAGCCTTCATGGGGACACCTGCCCTCATGTGCCTTCTGACCCGCATCACTCCATGGAGAGAATAAGTCATGAGCTGACCGTGTAGCCAAACGGAGTTCCTGTAACTCCTGGTCGCACCTCTTCAGTAGGAGCTTTTATAAGGAGCAACAAGCAAGGGTGGAATAAAATTAAATTCCACTTAGGCAATAGCACCTAAAACATCACAGAGAGTTATGTTCAAGAGTTATAATTATGTCACTGGACTCCCACATGGCCAACTGCGGTTTGAATCCCAGACCCAGAGGCTTGAAACTCACACCAGGCACATGTACATGCGTGCCCAAGATCCTGAGAGGAGAATGGAGGAGAAGGGATCGCGGTGTGGCCATCCCCCTGAGGGGTGATTTCTCACTTTCTGTCTCTCTGTCTCACCAGTGAATATATGTGCCCTATAACAAAAATCTCTCCCAAAACAAACAAACAAAGAAGAATCACAGTATCTAAGTGAAATGTTAATCTCTGGGCAATATTTAATAGCAAGTAAGAAAAATAAGAAAATCCCTTACCGAATTCTCCTTATCTTTTTTTTTTTTTTTTTGGAGAGGTTTTTGCTCTAAGGTGTGTGTGCTCACCAGAAAGAGAGAGACTGAAAGCAAGAAACCACCCCCTCAGGGGGGAGGGCCACTCTGCAGTCTCTTCTCCATTCTCCTCTCGAGACCTTGGGCACACATGCACATGCGCCTGGCATAAGTTTAAGCCACTGGATCAAGGACTCAAACCACAGTCAACTACGTGGGAGTCCAGCGACATAGCCATTATGCCAACTGCTGGTCCCTAAATTCTCCTTATCTTAAAAATAAAAATGACATTGGGTAGTATCAAACTCTGGTCTTATAAATGAAGCTCTATGAACAAGGAATTTGTAGATTTTATTTCAGACTGATTTTTGTCTCTGCCTTGCTCTTAGGTCTTAGCAAATTAATTAAGTCTTTATTAATGTTCCAATTATTATTTAGTTCTACCCTGAGAAAGAAATTGGATTGACTGACTAAATTGTGATCATAAAGAATCCTACTATCATTAAATCCTTTATACTTTGTACTAAATGCAGCCATAATGAAGTCAAACAGCATCTCTCACAGTTCTTTTCTTCTCTGACTTTATCCTATAATAAAAACCACATTTATAAAAAAGCAAAGTCTACTTCAAATAACATTTTAACTATCAAAGTTTTCCAAATGAGCAGATTTTCATAGCGGGGTTACCTAAGGCAAGACCTTTTTAGTAAGCCTTGACCTTTCAGTATATCCCGATGTTCCCTATAGGGGAAAAGGCAGATCTTGGGTCGGACAGATGAGTGTGGTCTAGATAGAGCCTGTCAGACCTGTGACCCTATACCACAGCTCTAGTCTCAATGACTGCAAAAATTAGTAATATATATGAATCAAATCTTTCACCATACCCTTCACATCTTAATTAAGCACTTTATAATGTGCAAACACTGTCCATAGGAAGCTCAAATGGATAGAAAAATTTTGTTTGTAAAATTTAAGCCTGTATTTAAATGGAATTACAGGGAGACTTTTCATTATCCTTTCATGGGCATTATGCAGCATGCCTCAGTACTAGCTACAAACTTGTAAGTCTGCAGATTTGCATGCTTTTAATAGCATCATCATAAACATTCAGAGCAGAAGGTATTGACGATACTGGATAAAATCAGACTTCAAATAGCATACTCGCTCAATCTTATGCTACTCTGCCTTTTGGGGAATAGAATCTATTGTTGCTACAGAAAAGAAAATGTAAATTTGGTACCCATGTGTTCCTTTTTGGCCAGGTTTGTTTTGGAAATTTCCTAGGTTAAAAATTAATAGAAAAACAGTAATGTCCTTTTTTCTCTGAAGAAGAGAGTAATCTTTCTGAAATCTGGCCGTTCTCTCAATCCAGGTGTCATTTCACAGAAAATCATTATACTTACAGGTTGTCCATTTTATTTCTTTTTTTTTTTTTTTTTTGGAGAGGTTTTTCACTATAGGGCATGTGCGCTCGCCAGACAGACAGAGACATAGAGACAGAAAGCAAGAAATCACCCCCCCCAGGGGGGATGGTCACGCTGCAATCCTTTCTCCGATCTCCTCTCGGGATCTTGGGCACACATGCACATGCACCCAGCGTGAGTTTTAAGCCACCTGGTCCAGGACGTGAACCGTGGTCGACTACGTGGGAGTCCAGCAACATAGCCATTACACTAACTGCTGGTTCCCCAACATGTTGAATTTTGATGCCTTTAAGCCTCTTTAAGCTAGAGAGTGATGGTAATGCTTTTATTCGCTCCTTGTAAAGAATATTTATAAATTTTACCTTTGAATCATAACTGAATATTGGGTTGTTGAGAAAGTCATGGAAAAATTTTGCATAGGAAAGTACATCATACTTTCCCAATGGACTAATAGTTCTCATGCTCTTTTGATCCTTTCTTGACAAATGAAAGTTGTATTAATTTATGTTATTTAGATTAAAACAGTAGTTTCTAACTTGAGCAAAAAAGTGAGTTTGTTGGAATTAGATGGGAAACACAAATAGAAGGCTTTAAAAGCTTTTAGAAAACTTTGGAAACAGAATACTTGGGGTGACAAGTGGGAGAATCTAGCCAGAAGGCAAAGAGCAAGATTGCCCTTGGATTTGATTCCTACAGGTCAGAATATGCTGAAGAGAGGAGTTGAGTAAAGAACAGAGTTGAGGATAGAGAGTAGATCTGAAAGAGCAAACAGAAGATAACCTGCACATACATGTCCACCCCATAAAGAAGGGCAGGCTGACTCATCTGAAAGTCAACCAAATAAGAACCTTCCTGGCAGCCACCTGGTGGTGTGGTAGTTAAGGCACTGGACTGCCACATGGCCGACAGTGGTTCAAGTCCTGGACCCAGTGGCTTGTTTGTGTGCTCTCTTTTTCTCTCTCCCACATGTGCCCTATAGCAAATTTTAAAATAACAACAACAATAATAATAATATTAAATTAATTTTTAAAATAAAAGACTCTTCCTATTTATGTAACAAGGAGTAATGTTCCAAAGGAATAATAGGGATGACATTGGCAAATGAAAGGAAAATGAATGTGGGTACAAGTTAACCAAAATTAAAACACACACACACACACACACACCATGAATGCTAACTATAAAAGAGAAATTTTCATTTTGAAGTGTTTCTAGTCTTGAGCTTGGTGACCAGATAAACTAACTTGTTACAGTTGCATAAGTGGCAATAAATAATACTTAGACTGTGAATTGTGAACTATTAACTGTAACCATTACCTATGTTCTACACTCAAATTATAAAGTATAATTGTGAATACACTGAAATTATTAATTTTATTTAAACTGTGGTGCTTAGGTTTTCTAATAAATGATTACTTAAACAGAAGTGTTATTACAATATGTGTAAATATTTTTTAGAGCATATATCTTCTATACAATAGATTTGCTATAGAAAGCTGCATACAAACATTTTATTTCTTATTTTACAGAATGGTTTCACACCATTATACATGGCAGCCCAGGAAAACCACCTGGAAGTTGTCAAGTTTCTTCTGGACAATGGTGCAAGCCAGAGCCTAGCCACAGAGGTAAAACAATGTGGTTTTTTTTTCTGTCTATAGGGCATTTTGTTAAGTCTGGAGTTGAGAATCTGTCCCTCTGGTCTCTATTTCAATTGTATATTAATGTGTGGGTTCATAAGTTTTTATGAAAGACATTGGTAAGTCTATTTTTAACCTTTAATAATCTTCTGTTGCATGGATGCCCTTTCTGCTCTTAAATGCCTGGTTCTACCCTATAATTGAGCTATTATTTTAATATACAACATATTTACTTGAGAATATATTTCTGACACTTATAATTTTGCCTCAAAGGCAACAATTGTTTTGAATTTTTTTGAATAAACATTAGTTTTAAATCTATTTTTTTCTAAATTTGTTAGCCTAATTACAATGATTAAATTTGTTTCTAAAGTTAATTAGATTTAATTCATGCTTCTAAATAAAACTATTATATGTTTTTAATTTTTAAATAAAAGGGTATTTGAAAAAAATCTTTGAAGTCTTAAATAGAAGAGTTATTCAAAAATTTTAAAAAAACTGTTTAAATCTTTGATACTCTCTTAGGTAATGTATTTTATTTTTCAAACTAATCTGGATGGAAGGTTGTGATCAATTGTGTCACTAAAAGTCTATTGCAAACTGTAAATGACCAACATTGGGGCATTCTTTTCTTTTCTTTTTTTAATAGTTTTTCTATTAGGTGTGTGTCCTTGTGGAGAGAGTCAGAGATAGAGGAAAAGTGAGAAATCACCCCCTGGAGGGATGACCATGCCACAGTCCCTTCTCCACCATTCTTTTGGGATTTTGGACACACACACACACAAACACACACACACACACACACACACACACACACACACACACGTGGGCACCTGTGTATTTTCTAAGTCACCAGGTCCAGGACTCAAACCACAGTCAGCCATGTAGGATCCAGCCACCTTAACCACCGCACCATTTGGTTGGCCTGGTATTCTTTTTTTTATGGAGGTTTTTGCTAAAGGGTGCGTGCACTTGCCAGACAGAGAGAGATAAAAAGCGAGAAATCACCCTCCATGGGGGATGTCCATGCCACAATCCCTTCTCCTCCATTCTCCTGTCGGATCTTGGGCACGTATGCACGCACACATGCCCGGCGTGAGTTTTTCTTCTTCTTTTTTTTTTTTTTTTTTGAGAGTTTTTTTTGCTATAGGGTGCATGTGCTCGCCAGACAGACAGAGAGACATAGAGACAGAAAGCAAGGAATCACTCCCCAGGGGGGATGGTCATGCCACAATCCCTTCTCCTCCATTCTCCTCTCGGGATCTTGGGCACGCATGCACACTTGCCCGGCGTAAGTTTTAAGCCACCAGGTCTGGGATGCGAACCGTAGTCGACTATGTGGGAGTCCAGCGACATAGCCATTATGCTAACTGCTGGTCCCGCATTCTTTATTTTTAAGAAAACAGTGAATTAGAGCAGATTCTGGGTTATCCTTTCCCTGAAATCACTGTCCTTGCTTGTGTGTTAATGTCCTTCCTGAGGGGACAGGAAAGATGGCAGTCGAGGAATCACACAAAAGTTCACTCAACTTTAGAGATGATGCCTCCTACAGAAATCACTAATAAATGAAGAGAGAGTTCACACAAAATGAAATACAAATGACCATAAACATGAAAATATCTCACTCTACTCAGGAGTGAAAAAGGTATTATTAGTCAGGTAAAGAATGAGATCCTTTTCTTTGCCCATGAAATAAACAAGGAATTTGATGGGGAAAGGAAACAGTAAATGTACATCTTGGCACAGTTACAGTTTTCAAAATGTTATTTATATTACTGTGTACTGCATATCATATCTTCTCATATATATACATATATACATAAATACATATGTATATGTATACACGTAAGGGTATGTATGTGTATATATACATACATATATGTATATATGTGTTCCTTTTACTAAGATTCTACATCATGAGGTAAATGTGTCTGTGCATTTATTGCACAAGACATTATTAAGCACCTATTATGTGTCAGACACTGCAAGACAAGGTATATCTTGAGCAACCAGAACATAGACCCCCCCTTTCTTTTTAATTTATTTATTTCTTCCATGAGAAAGACAGATAAGCTTGCCCCACAGGGTTTTCATACCATGATCCAAGCCAGTCTCGGCCTCTAGGACCACATACATGTACCATGAGTGCTTAGTGAGATTATGGCATGTGTAACCAGGACCTTTCCCCATGGGTCCAGTTGTGTTACTAAGCCACCACCTGGTCTGGACCTTTTTTCCCATGTCATTTCTATCACGAATCCTTTCTGCTTGTAATTTTCTCTTAAGATAACTGCACACACCAAACCAAACTGTTTAAACTTGGTTTTGAAATAAAATCTGGAGCTGCTAATTTTAGCTGTTAACACCTTAGAGCTGATGTCTTTGTGTCTTTAATTGGCTTATGCAGGAAGCACATCCTTGTGAGTGCTAATCTCTCAGTTGCAGTTTATTTTTTGGTGCAAAGTGGTTTCCTTTATATACATATAGGCACTGTGGATTTGAGAATTCACATCAAGTGAAATGTAGCCATTTTGTTTTGATTCAAGACAGAAGTGAGCTGTCATTTTTACCCTTTAGATTGTGTCCCCTTTTTTAAGGTGATATGCAAAGTTAACTTTTGAAGTGCAGTTTTCTCTTCACCATGTTTTTCTTTAAACAACACATTGCTTTTTTCAAAAGAAATGCATCGCATAAATGAGAAAGTACAATGAAAAGCAAAAAAGGTCTCAGTTCATTTTCCCTATAAATGATATTTTGCTTATTGATCCAGAATTTTCGTACATATACACAATACTCCTATTTATCTTTATAAAAAATGACATTGTATAATTACAATGTTGTGTAGACTACTTTTTAAGTAACATAGTCCACATTCTATGTCCTTACATGTGTAAACCTATGATATCATCTTGTGGACATCTTGTTCATCTCCAGCTTTTCCCTTTTTTTAATTTTTAGAGTTTTTGTCATAGGGCACTCATACTTGCTGGAAAGAGACAGAAAGAGGGAAAGTGAGAAATCATCCCCCAAAGGGTGGTGATTTGTCTACAAATGACTGCAGTTCACTATTCACAAATATTAAGTAAGCAGCGGAAATACGCTAGGGTACAGTAATGAACCAGAAGGACTATACTTCTGCTTTAAGATACCAGTGAAGGGACCAGCAGATGGCATAATGGATACATCGATGGACTCCCATATGGCTGACCACAGTTAAAGTCCTGGACCTGGCAACATGAAACTCATACTGGGCACGTGTGCATGCACGTGCATGCCCAAAATCCCAAGAGGAGTATGGAGGAGAAGGGATTGTGGCATGGCCATCCCCCATTAGGGGTGATTTCTCACTTTCTGTCTCTCTGTCTCTCTAGTGAGTGCACATGCCCTATAGCAAAAATCTCTCTAAAAACATTTTCTTTGAAAATTTTGCTCAGATTTAACCTGAAATGTTATAGTTTTCACTGAGATTATCTTATAGATGTTAAATTTATGGCATCTTTTTTCTTTTTATGTAGTAGTTTTTTTGTACTTTCAAAATTTTCTTGATTAGTGTGTATCTTTTTAAACAGGAAAAACATAAACTTATCACAAACTCCTTGTTTTTTTCTGCTTTTGTTTTATATTTATATGTAGTGTGTCTGTGTGCATTAAATGCCTTTACACATGTTCGTTCATTTGCATGTGTTCCTAGCTTAATAACCCAAAACAAAAATTGATGCTTGGTCACATGGTTGCCTTCTCATATGTTAATTTAATCAAAGATAAACCATCCACTGGGACCAATCTCGACCCATCCATTTATTTACAGGACGGCTTCACACCATTGGCAGTAGCTTTGCAACAAGGTCACGACCAAGTAGTTTCACTGCTGCTAGAAAATGACACAAAAGGAAAAGTGCGCCTTCCGGCTCTTCACATTGCTGCCCGAAAGGATGACACGAAAGCCGCTGCCCTACTGCTGCAGAATGACAACAATGCAGATGTGGAATCTAAGGTGAGGCATGAAGACCTGGGCCTTCTGCATACCTGTTCTATATAGGCACATGACCTTTGAGAGTGCCTGGTCTCCCTCTTGGCAAGCTTAAGCCAAACACAACTTCACTGACATAAACCTGTGCCGATTGAAGGCATCCCCTTTCTTAAGAAAACCTAGGAAGGTAACAGTGGATGCTGTCCTTTGCATGCTAAAAGGGAGGCCATGTCAAAAGAAATGGATCGACATGCACCTGAGAGTTTCCTTCCTTTTAATATAGACTTTGTACATGTATCTAAGACAGTAGCTCAAACATCAGGGTGAAAAATGTCAAAAATGCTACAAACGGTGTGCACCAATAAACCTCCAGTTGATGTCTAAGATGACAAACGGTACACCGAGTGTCTGTCAGTTGCGGAAAGCATGCCAGCAGCGAAAGAGCCACAGCCCAGAGTTCTCATCGTCTTGATGTGTATTACTTGAAAGTCTCCATGAGGGAAATGTGGCCCTTGGACGAGGCCCTTGGGTAGCCCTTGTTCCAGTCTAGCTTTCTTTCTGTGCCTATTGTGTTTCCATCCTAGCTTCCATCCTCATTCCTTAGCTGTCATGAGCTTTCTGCAGTCCATGTCACCAATAGTGAACTAACCGTTCATTTTTTCCTCCTCTTTGCTTCCAAATGTGTTAACCTAGATGGTGGTGAATAGAACAACAGAGGTATATATATATATATATGTATATGTGTATACGTTTCAGCTATATCTGCATCGTCACTTTCACATTACCTAGTGCTGCCGCCTCATTTCTTTCCCTTCTTCTTTGCATCGCCTTTTGTAGGCTAGATACCTGCTTTCTACCCACGCCCTCCCAAAGGAGCATGTGCCAGAGAAGATAGTAGTTTGATTACCAGGGCTTTCTGCAGCTGATCCTGGTGTTGGAAAGGAAGGAGGAGGAATCCTCGAAACTGAAGGGTATTGCAATAGAGTTGTGTGAGATCAAGAGTCTTGACACTTTAGATGTTTATCAGCTATACCGAAAGCTGCAGACAACCCTGTCATTCTACTCATCCAGGACTGATTCTTTAGGGTTCTGCATGACACTTACCCTCCGTGGTGTCAGCACAAGGAAAGTTTCCTCAGAATGATGCTAATATGAGTGACCCTGTACAAGAGTCAGTAAAATAGCTAGCATGGCTAAGAGGCTTGCTAACAAATTAGAAATGCATCTAGTTCCTATAAGGTTTCAATCTTTGGGGACTAAGTGAACTGCTGCATGTCTTAGCACTTTTCAAGGAAGTAAAATGACCATGGTATAAATAATCCAGACAAATATATTATTGAATAGGCATTTCCTAATCAAAAGATCAACTTGGAATACTTTATGGAATACAATTAACCATTTTACAAAATGAATTTTATTGTAGTACCTTTCCCCCCCAAAATTGCTTTCATCACTAAAATTGGCATTTACTGTTTATTCATTTGAATCTATATTGAATATACAAAATGAATTGAACTTTGATAGAGTTTCCATAGACAATTCTGTCTCATCAGTAATAAAACAGTAGTCCTAATCAAGCTTCCTATGAGCTACAAAGATTGTTCTTGTAATCCCTATTTTAACTATGAAACGTTGGCTTCTATATAGTTCTGGTGCTGGATTACTAAAATTGCTCAGTCTCCACCCTTGGTTCCTCCTTGGCTGTTCCTCTGTCTGTGACTTTGGGGTTTATTAGAAACCCTATGAGCAATTGGCACTGATGGAAACCTAGTACTGAATGGAATGTGGACCTCAGCATATTTTGCTTCCTCATTTTTATTTGGGCAAGGTTATGATATTAACCTGTCAGACAAGGGGCTGGCAGAAATCAATGAAATGTCTGTTGTGTTTTCTTTACAGAGTGGCTTCACTCCGCTCCACATAGCTGCTCACTATGGAAATATCAATGTAGCCACGTTGCTGTTAAACCGAGCTGCTTCTGTGGATTTCACTGCAAGGGTAAGAGCACTGCAATGCCTTTAAGGAATTAGGAATGAGTTTTACCTCTCTTTTCCCAAGATGAGTGGCACGTCGGGTTGCATGCCCTCCCAAGGCTTCTTCTAGTTAGCAGAAGTTACAGTTTTCTACTTCTCCTAGTGCATGTTCTTGCCTTTACACTGTTGCATTTATTTCCTGGTGAAAAGGTAAACCAAGATCAGACATGCTGGGTATGTGCAATAGATAAGTGCATAAATAGAAGATGACACTCAAGTGATGCCTGGGAACTGCACACAGTTCCCCACACTGAAATTTCTGAGAGGTAGAAGTTGGTGAGACAGCATGCATAGTGCTGTAGAGATCTGGGCCTTAATCTTCCAGATAGGAATGTGCCAGAAAATCCAGACGAGATCCCAACATCAGAATCCGAATAGTAGGGACCATTTTTTCTTTAATTTGCTGTTCTCTACAAACTTTCAAATGAGGAAGCAGATTCTATAACCTGAGTAAGCTCCTATTGATTGGGGAAAGGAATGAAAATGTCAACTGCACCAGTGCACATCAGTTTTGGCATCCAAACTGAGTGTCACTGCTTTGAATGTAAAAACAGGTCTCATACCAACCAGCCTTGAGCACAGAAACATCATCGTCCGAGGCAGACATTAAGTTAGTAGTAGGATGAGATAGTGGCTGATGGTCTGGACTCTGAGTCTGATCCCTGAGTTCAAATTTTGGCTTTAACTTTTCTGTGTCCATCAGTTTTTTCATTTATAAGATGAAGAGGGATTATGTAATTAAATACTAAATAACCATAATAAAATTTCACCTCTCCCGCATCAAGTCACTGTGAGAATTTTGAAAGTACTTAGCATGGTGCCTGGCATGGTATCATCCACAGCAGCTCCGCCCAGTTATTTTGAACGTGGCATCTGAAGTCTTGACTTGCTCAGGCTCGTCTGTTAGAAGAGAGATGGGACAAGATCCGATGGGGAGATGGGGTAGAGTTTCAGTCCTAGTGATAGGATCAGCCATTGCAGCAGGAGCCTAGTAATGTCACTTTTCAAGTGGTTACAGGGTGGCAAACTCCAGGCTAAGCATTTTACCTTACCTATTCTTATATGAAGAGAAGTGTCATTTACCCTGATTTCACAGAAGGAAACGGGAAGCTTACAGATAAGAGCTAGCTACTCCAAGATTATAGAGCGAGCAGACCGAAAGGCAGGATTGTAACCTCAAAGCTATTAATCACGCTAGTATTCTTTCTCCTTTAGGAACTTCCAGGGGTCCATCTTTCTTTTGCTCTTTAACACATTTGTTCTATAAAAATTAATAAGATTTGGGGCCGGCAGGTGGCATGGTGGTTAAGGGCTCTGAACTCCCACATGGCTGACCGCAGTTTGAGTCCCAGATCTGAAAGCTTGCTTTCTCACTCTCCCCCGACTCCCCCCAACTCTCATTCTCTCTCACTCTGTTCCTCTCTGGTGAAATTAAAATCAACAAACATATAAATAAATGTATGTTCAAAAATAAAATGATTATTTAAAAAGAATTTAAAACAAGATTTCAGAACATACTAATATGAAGGCTATGTCCTACCCTTTGTCATCAGCTTGCTAAAAGCCTTCCTCACTTTAAGTGACTCGAGAGTCACAAAGAGCTGTGTTTGTGTCACTCTAAAGCTGCGTTCTTACTGCATTAACTAACTGGATCCTTGATGTGGCAGATCCAAGGCCTGGTTTGACATTTTGAAGGACAAAATTAAGCACTTCCTTAAGTCATGGATAAACAGAGCATGTCAACATTAAAACTGAAGCTCATTTCAAGATGCTTTCTTCTAGTTTCATTTCTGTGATTCACAGTATAATAAAAGCCTCATTAAGTCACATTTTCTAATTAGGACATTTGGAAAATTCATGTCAGGGTGGTGTTTGAAGTTTGTCTTTATGTTATTGTTTAGAAATTCCCTCATGCTGCTGGAAGTAAGATTGGGGAAACACTTAAGCAATTTAAGAGGACAAAGTACAATGTTTTCAAGCAACTCAAAAGAAACCGTTTACATTAAAACAGTGGCTGAGATCATTACAAAAGATGTTTATTTATTGATTAAGGACCAATGGAGATCCAAGTAGTTCAGCTTATCTGGGTTACCATATATTGATAGGATTTTAAATAATCACACTGTGCTTTTGCTTAAATTATGTTAAAGTTCAGACTTTTTGCTTATTTCAAAAAGCATTGTGTCCAGTCATTTCTAATGAATGAGGCCCAGTAGCATTCTTTTCTTTTTTTTCCCTCTTGGGATTTTTTTTATATTACATTTAATCACATATATCTTTACAGTATATAACACTTCTTTTTCCAGCATGATTAACCATGCTTATCAGTCAAGACAAAGACATTATTACACACATCAGCAGCAGGAAATAGCTTTTCATTTTTTTTCCAGATTATTTTTTATTTATTTATTTATTTTTAAACATTCAATTGCTATGCATCATTTGGCTTGTAAAGAGAATTTATGTAACATGAAATACTTCTCAGAGCAGTCCAGTTGAGAACACTATACATGTTATCATTAATAGGTAGTAAGTAAACCATTTCTGTGTCCCACAAATGTCATGAGGCCCAATAGCATTCCAAGCTGAAGGCTGCAGTGGAATTTGATTATACTTTACAGGAGGCCTGTGCTGGTGCTTCTTCCCAGAAAACTCTGCCTCTCTCTGCAGCTGTGATTGACACCTTGCTGTAGGGTATCAGAGAATGCCTAGTGTTCATAAAGAGCTTAAACTGGCTGCTTCAAAAAATCCATTTTAGATACCAAATCTCTAGTAATTTTATTACATTATAATCGAGCATCTCCGCTTTCCACTGCAGAGGCTTCTTCCATCCCGACCTCACTGGGGTCTTCTTGTAGGTCACAATTCTCTCTGGAATGGATTAGAAATAGCAAGAGAAAATGAGAAGCTCTGGAGCACATGTGGGATCATATTTTACCTGGTCAGACCAATAAGGGGAAGATCGTTAAGCCTCATTTACTAAGAACTGGCTGCAAATCATAACCATAAATCATATGTTTCAGAACCAGGTTTGGGCAGAGATACTGATGAGAGGGTTAAAGGGAAATTAAAAAGTAATGACAGTAGACCATCTCAGGGGGGCTGTGATTTCTGTTTTGTGGCTGTGGCAGAGTACAGTAGAGAATGGAAGATGTGGATCATTGAAGAAAGGCAGATGCAGACCTGTAGTTCTTTGTAGCATTGTGGGCTGAGGGCATGACCCAGAGAGTGGGTACCTACTAGCAAAGGGGAATAGAACAAGGACAACATATCTGCAATTATTTCCTGCATGCAATAGATGTTCATTTGCAAAGCAGATGGGAGGCAGAAACACATGCAATATGTTTGCAGGAGTACACAATAGAATGGATTGCTTCCAATACTTCTTTGTAGTGCTAGTTAATTTATGCACCAATAAAGCAGATCCTAGCTAGTGTTCAATGAATACCCATGAAGAGCAATTTTGGAAACCGATTTATAGCATGCTAACCTGTTTTAGTAGCACCTTTCCTTTTATTATGATGGCAGCTTTGAGTTTTGCATTGTGATTTTGCTCTATGTATGGAAACTATCCCATCTGACATCTTCAGCATTTCTTTTGGGTTATCCAGGGAGATCTGCCTAGTCTCATGGGTTCACTGCTGGGAGTTAATGCAGTAACTTCTAAGTAGTGCAATGCAGCTTCAGCATTTTGACTTGAGTCTTCACCTTCTTTGACTTGAGTCTGCTGAGATGGCGTTGACACCATCTGAATTTATAGCATGACCTTTGCTCTCTTAGCAAATCATTCTGGCTCCCTTGGGGAAGAGACTGTAACTAAGACACACCAGAGCTACTACTGATTATCATTCCAGTAAGGAGCATTTATGCACTGGAATAACTAAAGGGCAAATTACATTATGTGGATGCCTGCAAAGTTCCTTTTATTGATTGAAGAAGATAGATTAGTACTTCACTGGCTAAGAGTTTTTTCATCAAATATAATGGACCACCTAACCTAATCTTCACTCTTGTCATTGACCTTTTCCTTGTAAGTTATTATTCAGCTTCCCATTTTGAGAAGATAATTGAATAAAAACATTTTTCTAGTCATTTACCTATTTAGTACTTTTTGGTGTGATCTTTGGAAGGACTGGAAATTTATGTCCTAGGGTTCTATACCTCACTTTTTTCTTAAGGGATTTCAGGTAGTTTATGATTAAAATATGCAAAGTACAGCAAATAAAAGTAAACCACAAGAAGTAATTTTTTTTTTTTTTAAGGAAGATTTTTGCTATAGGGCAGGTGTGCTCACCAGAGAGACAGAAAGCAAGAACTCATACCGCAGGGGGGATGGCCATGCCACATTCCCTTCTCCTCCATTCTCCTCGCAGGGTTTTGGGCATGCTTGCACACACACACCTGGCATGAGCTTCAAGCCACCGGGTCCCAGACTCATACCTCCATTGGCCATATGGGAGTCCAGTGATGTAACCATTTCATCATCTGCTGGTCCCAAGAAGTAAATGTTATTAAGCAACTGGAATGAGCCACTGAATACAACTGGAGAATAAATTTAGTTCTTAAAAGCTTTGATAAATATAATAAAAAGGAGTATTTCCCTTTTAATTACTTAGGGGTTTTTTTGACAAAGGAAATCTTATAGTTACCTATAGATATGATTTCTTATGCATAAAATAACTCAAACATGATTTTCATCATATGACTCCTTTGATTAAGAACAAGGAGACCCCACTACAATGAGGTGTGCTACTAAGACACTGCCCCTTGCAGGCTGGAACCACATGGGAGGCCCAGATTTGATTTGGAGTCTAACCTAAGGGCTTTGTGTGGTGGCACACCTGTAATCCCAGCATCTCAAGAGGCTGAGGTAGGAACCACAAGCTCAAGACTAGCCTGAGCAACACAGTGAGACCCTGTAAAAACAAAAACAAAAACAAAAACAAAACCTTTAAGAAAACTGAG